GAATGTTTAAAGGAATATTTTGCTTTAAATATGAATAAGGGAACATCAATGTCAATGGTGTGGGATGCAAGTAAAGCTTTTATGCGTGGTATTTTGATAAAAATGAATAACTTGCATAGACAGAAACAGATTCAGAAACATAAAGATTTAGAAGAGGAGATTAAATTAAAAGAGAAACTCCTAAGTTTTGCCCCATTTTATGACATTTCTTGCCACAGTTGTTAAGTGAATCACTGCAGTTGTTAGGTTAGTAACACAGTTGTTGAGTAAATCTGGTTTCCCCATTGAATTTGCTTGTCAGAAGGTCACAAAAGGGGATCACATGACCCCAGGACACTGCAACTGTCATAAATATGAGTCAGTTGCCAAGTATTTTAATTTTGATCACATGGCCATGGGGATGCTGCAATCTTTGTAAGTGGGGAAAACGGTCATAAGTCACTTTTTTCACTGCAGTTGTAACTTTAAACGGTCACTAAATAAACTGTTATAGTTTCAAGTGTTTGTATTGTCTTTGTATGGTATATATCTTTTTGGTAAATCAACATTAAATAATAATATAGAGCATTCACACCTAATTATTAAGAAAATAGCTGATGGACAGTTAGTAGAAAAGCTATTGATATTCATTTCTACAGGATTATATTGTTAGTCAGCATTGCTATTATATGTTTAAATACTTCAGAGTAAGCCTTACTTATTCCATAACTGACCAGCCATAATTTTGTTGGAATGTTATTTTTTCCTCAATCTGCTTCATTTCATGGACACTTTGAAAAAAATCTGCCTTAACATTCATTCTTTAGATTTATATTCCATCTTTTCATTTTGGGAACTCAAAATATCTCCTCCTTCTTCCTATCTTTCCAAAATAATTCCCTGAAGTAGGAAGAACTGAGAGAAAATGGCTGGCCTCAATCCCCCAGCAAAGCAAAAGTAGACTTGAAGCTGAATTTCTCTATTGTGCCTTAACCATCATACTCCCTCACTGGTAGAGTGTTTTTACACATGTTTATAATTCCAGAATCTTTTGAATTTTCAGAGCATATTCTGACTATTTGGGGGTAGTGATTTATCCATTCATAGATAGATTTTGTGACATGGCTGGCCACAAAAGTGTTCTTGCTCAGAAAGAAAACTCTCACAGTGTCTAGCAGGTGTCAGATGTGGAAAACCAGGCTCTGCTCTATTCTGAACCACAGAAACTCAATGCAATAGGTGACTTTGGTTCATTCCTGGATCTTCACTCACTGTAACTCACAAAGTGGTGAAAAATTGGAGAAGGCGGCACATGCATGCCACCTTGAGCTCCTAAATAAAAAGCAGAATATATATTTAATTAATACATAAGGTAATTGCCTGACATTTCTGCTGTTATAAATCTTTGCACTTTACATTTATTAATCAGAGCACATTTATTCCTTAGAGTACTATACTATTCTGTTTGTTTGTTCAACTTCCCTCTCAGCTTTCATTCACGCAAAGGTTCCTGGTGTACATAGACTTTTCTCTTCAGAATAAATCAATATATATATAGAAAAGCAGCAACAACTGGTCCTATATCAAAACAATTGAGATTATGTATTGAAGTAGCTAAACAGGAGTGTAACAGTTTTTTATTCTGTTGATATATAGCAAACATAACGCCTATTGCTAACTTCCCTGGTGGTCTAGTGGTTAGGATTCGGCGCTCTCACCGCCGCGGCCCGGGTTCGATTCCCGGTCAGGGAAAGAATTTTTTTCTGTAGCTATTTGCAACTAAATCTAATCACCGGAAAGATTTTAAAGACGTTCTTTTAAAACCAGCAATAGAAAGGCTTTGTTTCACTCTTCCTCGGTGACAAAGGCAAGGTTTCGTTGTGCTGCAAACTCACTTTCACTAGTGTTCACTAGGTGAATAATTTCTGCCCTGCAGCGTTATTTCCTAGACTTTCAAGAATAAATTTGTCCTCTTCAGGTTTGGATTTCAAACTTCTAACGGAATACAGTCTTTTACAAATTTCCAGAATAATTAATTAACTCAATGACATTGATTAGACACTTCTTAGACATGTATATGATTTTAAGCTTTATACAGAGGACTGCAAAAATAGGAAACAATAACCACCCCAAATACTTAGTGCAGGATAAATTCTTTTCCTCTGTTACTTGAAAGCAATGTTTTTCACCTCAGCAATTTTAAGATATGTGGACTTCAACTCCCAGAAATCCTTACCCAGTGATCAGGCTGAGGAATTCTGGGAATTGAAGTTCACACATTTTAAAGTCGTTGAAGATGAGAAAGCAACTTAAACAAAGCTTTAAACTAAGCATTGTCCTCTGCTTGCAGCACAGCTAGGAGAAAACAACAAAATTAGTTAGCCCTAATAATTTGAGTTGGTATTTTCAGGGTAGAATGAAAATCAAAAAAGCCTCCCTGGTTGTATAAACTATCCTGTTATAATTTAGATATTAGAAAACATCAGATTGGGCATTAGAGATGAAGTAACCATCTTCATTTTTATTGCTCTTCAGGCCTCATTATAACCTATAAGGAGGATATAACCTTAAATTATATTTTATATTTTGCCTTTTTAAGAGCTCTAGGTTCATGCATATATTATCTGCCCAAAGGAAGTCCCATTAAATGTAATAATTGCCTTTTGCAGTGAATGCCTGTAATAAAATAATTAATAATAATGGGACATAATTCTAGGTAAGGGTACAATTTTGGCTATCCATTCACCTAAATACCAGCAATCTCTTAGCCCAGAATTGAAATCAGTGGGGGGGGGGGAAATGATGATAAAAAGGATGACTGTGGCAAAAGAAAGCAAAAGTAGTACCAATAGTAATAGGTGCCTTGGGTGCAATCCAAAACAACTGAAGCACCACTTGATTACCATGTCCATGGGCATTGACAAATTCACTATCAATCAATTGCAACAGGCAATTTTACTAGGAACAGCTTATATCCTGCAACAATATCTGTAACACCATCAAACATCCATATCTATCTCAGGTTTTTGGGAAGGAGTCAATAGCTGGATAAAAATGCCAAATTCATTCTGAACATCTGCCTGGCTATGCAACCAACTACAACAATAACAATAATTTATTAAATGTATATGCCATATGACTCCCAGCAACACTTATGTGTTGTGAAACAACATAAAACAAAGAATAAAGCTAGCAAAGATAACACACCCAGATGGTACAAAGGAAAAGAGAGAATGGGCTTCAGTCACATTCACCAAAGCCCTGGATGTTTTTCAGGATCCTTCAAAATGTCAGGAATGGGGTGCCATTCAGACCCCAGGGAGAACCTCATTGCAGAGGACAGGCTTCCAATGTTGCATTGTGTGGCTTTGTTTAACTGAACATACTTGGAGCACATCAAATTGGCTGGGCAGATAGTATTCATTTTGAACCCAGTTAGTGTAATGCACACCCATTTTTCTCAGGAAAGGCTCAGAGGCCATGCATTGTCTGGGGAGGCAAGTTTCTGTATCTGCCGTACAGTACCAGCTGAAGGCTATATTGTACTCCTTGACTACATTGAGTAATTATGCCACCAATGCAAACATTTGCATTTTTTTAAATGATTTGGAAAAAAGGGATGATGTTGGCGCTTCCTGAGCTTCTGTGCCCTAGTCCAGTTCTTGCTCAGTGTTAGCCTAAATCTGGCCCTGAACTTAAATACTTGCTTAGATTGTTCTCTGTGGCTTTTCCTCATAAGGAACAAAGTCACAGCTGTTTCTTGCCTCCTTGCTTGCTTCAAATTTGCTTTGTAAAAGAGAACTTCTCAATATAACACAAAGTGTCCCACTCTGCACTTCAGGACCCCAAACAGCACTAAAGCAATTTGTTTGATTCCTCTTTGAATGCAATCAAAAGTCATCCAGCTGAGGAGAGCTTGCATTTTATGTCATACTTTTGTTCAGCACGTGGAGGCGCCCAAATCCCTGGGAGCCCTAAGTCACAGTTACTTGTCTTTTAGAGACAGACTCCCTCCCGTGCCAAACGTTTTTCTAAAGGCTTTCCCCTTGCCTTCCTTAAAACAATTAAGAGAAACATATTTGGTGTAAAGTCTCTCTATTATATGAAATTCCGTAACTAATTGAGAGATGCAGAAAGCATCTTAATACCATGGGTGAGTTAGTGGAGCACAACTTTCTATGTAAATAGCCTTGAATCACTTGAAATGTGGCATACAGTCTCCATTTCCTTGGAGTTTTGAATCTCTTGCTGATGTGAACCATCATAGAGGCTCCTTGCCTTGATGTTCTCTGGCATTAGGGGTTATTGTGTGACATCTATGAGGAGCCCACTGAAACTGCCCTTGTGGCTTTAAGCTTTGAGGTCACCTTATCCAAGTATTTCTGCTATTCCTATCCCTCCTTTTTTTGACTAATACATCCGTTCCAATCTTGTACATATCATACAGAGTTTTTTAATGTGCCATTTATAGGGAGTCCTTGTCTTACAACCATCCATTAAAACAACATTTGAAGTTACAACAGCACTGAAAAGAGTGATTATGACTGGTCTTCGCACTTATGCCCATTGCAGCATCCCCATGGACACATGATCTGTGCTATCTGAGGGATAGGCCGTGGTTGGAAACACTGAATAGAGTTTTCATCACAGCTACTGTAAATTTATTTACACTTCTCTGAACAGCAGCGCAGTCAGTTCAGTAGAATTGCTGATTTTTCGCAGTTTTCAGTTTCAGCATCAATTCCGCCAAGGAATGGAGTCCATTCCCCCCCCCCCCAAGGCAAGATGCAGGGGAAGAGTACCAAGAACACAAAGGACCAAAAAGATAAGAGGGTTTTTAACAAAACCAATAATGTGTTGTGGTTCAGTTGCCAGAGTTAGTCTTCTCAGCTTGGTGCAAAGTGGCCTTTTTGATTGAAAAGCCATTTGATTCGTGAAAATATATTAACAGATATGTTAATATAAAGAAGCAGGACCTGGATTGATTGGTTTAACGGAAAGAAGAAAAAATGAGTCGGAGGTCCCTGGTGGTCTAGTGGTTAGGATTTGACATTCTCACTGCCATGGCCCAGGTTCGATTCCTGGTCAGGGAAGGAGTATTTTTAAAACTTTAAACCTCCCGAATGTCTCTTTTTCTTCTGCTTGGGACAACAGTATATAATGTATAGCATTGGTTGTTTTTTTTCTTATAAGTTAAAAGGAGGGAGTCAAAATTAATTTGCGTTACCTATTTATTTGGGTAACATGTTCTAGTATATTTATCTGAAAGGAAGATTGTCCCACCGGATATAATTTTTTAAATGAAAAAATTATTTATGGGAGGGATTTTTCCCCCTATTTTGAGAATACAGTTAGCTAGCTAGACCTTTTCTGTCTTCTATCTTGTCTAAATTTCATGATTGCATTCCTTTGAGGTAATTTACTATCTCCTGCTTAAATTCCTTTGTAGTTTTTTAAAACAACAAAAATTTTGCTGCTGTTGTGTACCAAAATGAAGCTTTACTCTTAAGCAAGATAGTCAAGTCTTCAGCCTACTTTCTTTTATTTTTAAGCCTCCCTATTCAATAACAGTATGGCAAGCAAAATGTTGCAAACAAAATTTCTGCTGTTTGTGCCAGAGTCATCCCAGGATAAGAGTGTGTTCAATATTTTCTTGTAAGCAGGTGTACAGAGGCAGAAATAAATATAAGGATAAATGAATGGATGCAATGCAGCGTTCTATTACTTAGAAAGAACGCTATTACTACAGCGTTCTTTCTCCATTATTAAGTTAAAAAAAGCTTTAATTGTACAACAGCATCCTGAAGCACAATAAGTCTTTTCTATGAAATCGTCATTGTGTTGATGTTGCATGAGTTTTTCATTGTTGTTGTTGTTAATTGTGAAGTCGTATCCGACCCATCGCGACCCCATGGACAACGTTCCTCCAGGTCTTCCTGTCCTCCACCATCTTCTGGAGTCCATTTAAGTTCACACCTTCTGCTTCAGTGACTCCATCCAGCCATCTCATTCTCTGTCGTCCCCTTCTTCTATTGCCCTCAATCTTTCCCAGCATCAGGCCCCTTTCCAGTGAGTCCTTCCTTCTCATTAGGTGGCCAAAGTATTTGAGTTTCAACTTCAGGATCTGGCCTTCTAAAGAGCAGTCGGGGTTGATCTCTTCAAGGACTGACCAGTTTGAACGCCTTGCAGTCCAAGGGACTCGCAGGAGTCTTCTCCAGCACCATAGTTCAAAGGCCTCAATTTTTTTGCGCTCAGCCTTTCTTATGGTCCAACTTTCACAGCCATACATTGCAACTGGGAAAACCATGGCCTGTACTATACGTACTTTTGTTGGCAGGGTGATGTCTCTGCTTTTTAGTATGCTGTCTAGATTTGCCATAGCTTTCCTCCCCAGGAGCAAGCATCGATGTCGATGTTCAGTCTTGTCATCTCTTTTTTGACTACATCTAGCTTGCCTTGATTCATGGAGCTTACATTCCAGGTTCCTATAGAGAAAAAATCTTTACAGCATCGGACTTTCCTTTCACCACCAGATATATCCACAGCTGAGCGTCCTTTCGGCTTTGGCCCAGTCGCTTCATTCTTTCTGGCGCTACTAGTACTAGCCCTCTGCTCTTCCCCAGTAGCATATTGGACACCTTCCGACCTGAGGGGCTCATCTTCCAGCGTCATATCTTTTTGCCTTTTAGTACTGTCCATGGGGTTTTCATGGCAAAGATACTGGAGTGGTTTGCCATTTCCTTCTCCAGTGGATCACATTTTGTCAGAACTCTCTGCTATAACCTGTCCGTCTTGGGTGGCCCTGCACAGCATAGCTTATAGCTTCATTGAGTTACGCAAGCCCCTTCGCCACGACAAGGCAGTAATCCATAAAGGGGGAGTTTTTCATAAGATCCAACAAAAACCACGATCAAATCCTAGATGAAGTGATTCTCCATGAAGTTAATCAGAAAATCTCCAAATTTTTTATGATTCCAGGGGCCAAAAATTAGGAATGAAAAGCATGGCCACTGGAACCTTAATTGTTGGGGTTTGGACCATATTTATCTTTTATTTTATGTTTTCTTAAGGATATTGAATTGAAATATATTTTTGTGAATTGATGCACCTTTTGTACATATTGTATGTTACAGCTGAGAATCAGGAAAAGCCAGCGATGGTGGGTGATTAAAGACAAATATGCATGAAGTTTATTGAAGTAGAGAAATGACATTTTTAAAAAATTTAAATTCCTTTTTTATGCTTTCCTATTTTAATTATTTGTGCTGAGTTGTATTTATTAATTGCACACTGCCTTTCAGTTCATTGATATCCACATGAACTGCAATTACAGTTGCTTCCAGATTTTTATTCTATTTATGTGTGCTTTAAAACATATAGATACATACTGCAGTAAAAAAAATATGTAAGCAAGATTAAAAATTAAATACACAGCATTTAGTAGCAAAACACCAATAAACTTGTCTTTAAAAGGTTTTCACCTGTATGTATCATAATAATGAGATATAGGGAAGCAGCCTTTTCAAAATGCATAATTCACACTGTGCTGCCTCTGAGGTTTGGTGACTATCAGCTGCAGCAGGAGTCAGCTAACATAGCCATCACCATATTATGGCCACTCTTTGGTTCCAGCTGAAGTGTTTAAACTTTAAACTGTTTTCAAAGGTACACATCGCAGAGCACATTAAGGTAATCTCAGAAGTGTATAGGGCTTTTTAAGAAGTTTAGAAAGTTTTAACAGAGGTTAGATTATCAAAGGCTAGATTTTTAATTCCTTGGTTGGCATGTATTGTGTACAGTATTATGAACAATGATGGCTGTTATTATACCAGTAATAATTTTTATTTGGTGGTGGTTTTTAAAGCCTAAGATAAGAGTTTTCCTCTGTTCTCTTCTTTGATAGAAAAAGTGCAATAAATATCCTGAGAGCCATTTGCCGGATCTCTAGTAAAAAAAATATTGTAATATACCAGAAGGGGTCACACTAGTCCCATAATGCAAGCTTCTGATTTGCTGTTTCCTCAGAAAAACCTGATTTTTTTTCTGTCAAATCACATGAATTTGGCATAATAATGAAGGTTTGATTTGTGGAGGCAATTAGGTTTCATATCTGAATCTTATGTTTAAAACCATTCATAAAATAAATATTGTATAAAAACAATAAGACAGTTATGTGATTAAGGAACATACTTTTGGAAATACACTGTAGAGGAACTTTTGGCTTGGCTGTCCCAGTCCTAATATATATATTCTTCCCATTCCTCCAGTGAGGAACGGGAAAGTTCTCTGTTCTATTAGCAGAACATAAGCCAGGGTTATTAAAATTATCCTAAATTGTAGGACCACTTAATTCTGAGTTCTTGGAGACCAGCTGCTGTGCAGCACAAGGGATATCTGGTTAGAAATAAGCAAATCATATCTTCACTAGTTAGTTACCTAAAACGTAATAGTAAAGGTTTCCCCTTTCCAGTCGGTCCAACTCCAGAGGGTGTTGTTCATGTCCATTTCCTAGCTGAGAGACCCAGTGTTATCTGAAGACACTTCTGTGGCCATGGGGCCAAAGCACACAAAATGCTGTTACCTTCCCACTGAATTGGTACCTATTTATCTACCTGCATTTGCATGCTTCCAAACTACTAAGTTTGCAGGAGTTGGGAAAGGTATGGGAACACATCACGTGGTACTTGGGTCTCGAACTGCTGTTCTTCCGGTCAATAAGCCCAACTTCTTAACCTCTACGCCACCACTCCTCTTAGTTATCTAGGCCTAGTAAAATCTAAGGTTGGCTTGATCCATAAGAGTCCCTTTTGAATACTATTTCTTCTTTCTTGCTTTATTTTTCTTTGAAAGACTAACACAATGGCTACTTTGAAATTTTTTCAAAAATAAAGTTAGTTCAGACGGTAATTGGTACTTTATATTACAGTGATGGATAATCTTGAACATATGCCACTGCTTGAGAACTTAACTAGTTACTAGTCCATTTCAGAGGGCCATTCAAAGCACCAATGGTACATTTCAAACTACATATGGCATAGATCCAAGTCTGGAACTTATTAATTAATAATAGGCACCACATTTAAAAATGAGAAAAAGTCTCCACTGGCCTTTGTATATCCAAAATCAGGGGAGGGGAAAGAGGTTTTTTAAACAACACAACTTTCAGAAAGATTTGTGCCACAGAACCTTTCATTTTACAAATGAAGCATAGCTGCAGTTTTTCACAATAATGTGGGGATTCTTACTCTCAGACTAAGAAAAAATTAGATTTGGGGAATCTAAAAGAATGCAAAAATTCTGGAAACCCAGAAAGAGCATCTTGGTAAATCTGGCTTCTTAGTATTCTTAGGTTTGGGCAGTGTCTATAATGGATACTCTTTGCAGTATTTGATTATCTAGGACAGGGCTCTTCAAACTTGGTCCTTTTATGGCTTGTGGACTTCAACTCCCAGAATTCCTCAGCCAGCATGGGCTAAGTTTGAAGACCCCTGATCTAGGAGCAAGTTTATGAAGCCAGCCTAAAAAACATAAATCACTTTTCCTCAGGTGATCAAGTATTACTGCTTTTATTTCCCCAATCCAATAAAAGGATCTCTCACACTTGCAAACCTCTTCTTATATTCAATCACAGATAGGTAGATTTTCCATTTTATTTTTCTAGCCACATTCCAAATCCAGTTGCTACAATCTTCACTTAAAGGATCAGGGAGCTTTTAACTAGCACTCACAAGTCATTGCATTAGTTCTTGTTTCAGAATAGTAGTAGTAGTAGTAGTAGTAGTAGTAGTAGTAGTAGTAGTAGTAGTAGTAGTAATAATAATAATAATAATAATAATAATAATAATAATAACCCCCAGTGAGGCACTACCTTGACGTGGTTGTGGGGCTTGTGTACTCTGAGGAAGATGAGAGCTATGCCAGAGGTTCAACCATACTGTACAGGTCTCATCAGAGGAGTCAGACAAAGAGTGTCTCTCCCATAAAAAATATGGTGAGACGTAAATTTCAGAATGCCATACCGGCTCGGACGTCGCCCGGGTTAACAAGGTCCGCACTAGATATTGGAGTTCCTGGATATCTGGTGAAAAATGGG